GGCTCCTGTGAAAAAAGGTCTGTTGCCTGTGTTTAGGTTGAAGTGCCTTTAGTCTTTAATTTTTTTAATACCAATAAAAAAAAGAGCACTACTGCCTTTGTTTGTCCTCTAAGGGTGCTTTCACACCTTAATTCATTTCCTTTGGTCCGAATCAGTTGACGAGTTTGTAAACATGTAGCAATGTCTCCTTGGTTCGGTTTCGTTTCACACACAGAAAAATCCAAGTGCACCAAAACGCATCACATAAAACTACGCGAGAACGTTCTCTCCGCTGATTGGTCAGATGTGTCTGCCGCGAGAACAGAAAAAGTAAGTAAAGAAAGAAAGTCCACGTTTCTGTGACGAGAGAGGATGGAGGTCAACATACACGGGTTGGGCCTCGCCCTGGTTATTTTGTATTACCTTACTTGCATTTACCACTTAAACCAAGTCGTGCAGTTTGCCCACGATTCATCCTGGCGCGTGTTGTGGGTGACAGGAAATAAAATCTACCCATAATCCAATGCCCTCAAATCATGTGATTCACGGCCTTTGGTCCCGTTTTGGTTTGGTATGCGTTCTCACTAGGAGGACTGCACCAGAGTTTGCTAGATGATGCGGATCGAGACCACCTCATTTTGGGGGTCTCGGTGTGGTTGTTTTGGTGCGCACTTGAGTGCAATTACCGTGTTCATACCAGACAAAACAAACCGCACCAAGAGGGAAAATGAACTCTAGTTTGATTCAATCAAACTAAACGCTGTAGGTGTGAAAGCACCCTAAGTATACCAGTGCAGTGCAGTCATACAATAAACAGTGACTGTGAGACTGAAGTGCACTCTCTACGATCTGCTGCGCTCTACCACGCTCTGCCCAGCTCTTCAGATATGTCATTATGAAATTACAAGAAATGAGAATGCAGCAAAACTTAACTGATCAAGCAGAAATAATTGAATATCTCTGATTGGTTAGAGAGGTCAGTCCTGCTCAAAACATTTTAGGAACTAATATCTCTGCACTGCTGCCAGTGCTGTTCAGTGAATCTGGGTCACAGGAGGCTTCAACAACACCTCTCCACATTAAGACACGTTTTACAGCAGACAACAAAATAATCTGAAAAAAGATACATACTGTAGCTTTAATGAAAGTCTTCAGGTTTAATATTTGGTTTCTTTGTGATCAGTGATTGTCTAAAATCTACATCCCATAGACATCAGCAGACATATGATGCCCCTTACAAGCTTGTGTTGCAGCCACATTTACTTTCTAGGGGATTTTGCCTCTAGTCTGGAAGTAAAACACATTTTCAACTGACTAGGGGTCAGGGAACTGACTTCACCATCCAAACAAGAACATTCCTCTGTTTGGCCTAACTATTTGGTTGTCTTGCCTACATGTTTTTTGCTACATTGTTCTAAAATTAAGGGACTGTATGGGGTAAAAACTTCAAACCTTACACTGTTAAAAATGTGGATGTAAACACCCACAACCCATGCTCCTTGTGATCTAAACAAACTTCCCTATGTAGCAAAGGTGTGACCTGGTAAATTGAGTGAGGATGAACCATTCATCAGTGCTGTGTTGTTAAATATTCATGTAGAAATTGTGTATTTTTGAGACCCTGATTCCTTTCCAGCTGTTCTGCAGGCTGTCTGTGGCTAACAAGTGAGAACAAGTTCCCTACAGGAGTTAATAAAATATTTCATCCATTGATTTTTGGATTTTCCACTTCAGCTCAGCTTGTACTAAAATCTAAGGTGCTGTTATTAAGTAACACTGATTCATGTTATGTAAAGGAAACTCTGTTGTCATTCTGTCTTTGTTCAGACCTGCCAATGAAAGGCTGACACACACACACACAAGCTCCCCTACCTGTTAGACCTGCTTGATTGCTTCTTCCATGAAGTGACATCTCCACTAATTAAGTGCATACCAGTCATTCGACTTGTTTGTAGTGCCTTGTTGAGCATGGCTTTGCGGCAGTATAATGGAATAGTTACAGTACTTTACAGTAGATTATTTTCTTTGTTGCCTGTTAATCTGCTTAGCTTATTATCTAATTCTTGAAATGTGTGAAATTCTTAAACTGCAGTTTTGGGAATAAGGGCACTCCTTAAACCTCCCCAAAGCTGATGTGACTGGCGCTGGGTGTCGAACTGTGATACTTTTATGCCATCAGTCGAATTACTTCAATACTATTGTTTTTATACATTTTTATTTATTGATGTTAATGTCAACAGAACTTAAGGTTGTGGTAAATAGGTTTACCTTTTATGTTATGAAACTGCTCTGAGTGCACAAAAATGCCAAGGAATTAAAAAATAAAACTAATGATCTGTATTTAAATCTGTAATGTGTGTTTGTTGTTTTGTTTTGTTTTGTTTTTGTTTGTTCAAATACATTTTATAAAATTGGTATTGAAAAAAGTATCATTTAGGAACCGGCATCAAAGTCAAGGTATCAGTACCAGTAAAGTTTTGATCCCCAGCCAATAGATATGACAGACAGCTAGAATTTTTATGTCAAGCCGAGTGTACTTAACGATATGTTCTAGTAAGTTATGTCTTCTAGTAAGTGTGTCATTTATGAATTTGTTTCAGTTAAAATATAAACCCCAGGTAGAAAATCCAGCTTTACCTTTGCAGGTTATTGGCAGTCTTTGAGAATAACTGAGAAGCTGCTTTAGGCCATACACCTGCACAGTGAACACTATCAGTCCCTCTTTAAGTGAACTTCATTGTGGCTGGATCTAGTGAAGGAAAATCTGGTTCTGTCATTGAGTCTGTCTCCTCGTGTCCAGTGTCTTTCTTCTTTTCCTCTCCTTTGCTCTTTTCCACCTACCCACCCTGTCCCCAATTGCATGTGCTCATTTTTTCCACTCTCTCCAGGGGAACAAGGCTCTCTTTCTAGGTAGTAGTGTCTCTGTGTGTGTAAAGCAGAGAAAACTGGAAATGGCCTGTAAAAATATATATTTTTATATGCTCTCCCTTGTGTCAAACTCCATGACACTGATTAATATTGTTTTTGTATGTGTGTCTGTATGCATACGTGGGCAGTGTTATGAGAGCTCTAATAACTCCTCTGACCTCACTGAGAAACAGTCGCTTGTCAAGGAGTCTAGCTGTCACGCAAAGCCTCCGGTAGCAAACACAGAGATGTGTCATTCTCAGCCCATTGGGGGCACTGCTGAGGATGAGTGCTGGAAGTACACTGAGCAGCACTGAGACAATGCAAGCCACTGCCAAGGCAGATCAGTTTCCACTTAATGCCATTAAAAAAATTTGTGTAACTGGATGATGATCTGGATCACCACCAAAATGTAATGGATTGTTCTGTAAGTCATATTCTGACCCTCTAAAAAAAAAAAATCATCAAAACATATTCTTAATGTGTTTATGGTGTGAAAAATCCCACAAATGGCAGTAAAAACATACTGTAGCACAACACTGGACACTTTATAAACACATATCCAGCGTTTGGCTCTCTATGGCTGTAGTGTGTGCTACTCCTGAACTTTACTGCACCATACATTTATCATAGATAGAAACAGACAAAATAATAGACACACCTCTCAGAATAATCCACTGTAATTCAACAGCAGCACAAATTGCATCTTAGAAAATGAGCGTACAGTTGAATCAACACTTCTCTAACAGTTTCAACAAAAACTGAACATTATCACCTTCATGAAGAGTGGATTTATTACAGGACTGTTGCATTAGAGTGGGTTAGTGTTAGTTAGTTGTCCCTAATAAACTGCCAACTGAGTGTATATCACACCACCTACTGGTTCACTCAGAATTCATGACATTCAGCAACGTGAACGTGGCACAAACTGAATGTGTCTCCTTATGAATGATGAATTATTTACACAGCCAATTCCTGAGCAGGACTTAACAGGAGGACATTTCTCTGAGTTTTGCCCAGAACTTAACATCGTTGCATAGTCTAAATGAGATTGCCTGAAATCACACACATGCCCTGTCTCTGACTATTAAAGCAAGATTATGTTAATGGAATAAGACAGTAAAGCTACAAGAGATCAAGTTAAGGAACTTAAAAGTTCACAGAAAGTGATGTGTGGAAATTCTTGGAGGAATTTTGCTACTTTGGAAATTAGGCTATAGGCTGATATGCCCACTGGGACCTGTTAGTATGTGTTGTAGTCACTGTGATTCTGGGGCATAAAACAGTCTTGATACCATGAAAGGTTCAGTAGGTGTTTGTAAGTAGAGTTCCTTTATGCAAGAGAAGGCTTGACTGGAACCCAACTGTATTTTTACCCTTTGTCGTTTTTGTTCTTATAAGGACCATTGAAGGGAAATATCACTAGTTTCAGCTATTTTTTTTCACTGTAAGAGCATTTACTTTTAAAGAATGCGAATTTACTGAACACATTTCCATATCTTGTAAAACAGGGCAAGCATTTGTCAACCCTGACACTTTAAGGTTGGCTCTTTGGTGTCATACTGATACTGACTGACTGCACATTCAAGAAATGTTTGCTTTCTACTAACTGTCAAAGCAGCATTGAACAAATCTGTCAGTGGTGCAGTTCAGCTTAAATGAAGCAAGGGGGTGCACACTTGAAAGTTTCTGTTTCTGTTTCAGTTTTGTTCATTTGAAATACAGAATCAAATTTTCACTTTGATAAAGTGCCATTTTTAACAAATATAAAACATCTG